AAAACACTTCATCCAACAACAAAACACATATTCTTCTCAAGTGCACATGGAAAATTCTCTAGGACAGACAATATCATAGGCCATAAGACAAGCTAAAATAAATTTAAACATAGTGAGTTCATACAAAATATGTTCTCAGGTAACAACTGAATGAAATTAGAATCACTAACAGAGGCATATTTTGGAAACCCAAAAGTATGTGGACAATAAACAACATAATCCCAAAACACTAATGAGTAACAAAGAAAATCACATAAGAAATTAGAAAATACCTCAAGATGAATAAGAGGCATCCATATTGATAAAGAAGTTAAACTGTCCCTATTTGCAAATGACATGATACTATACATAGAAAGTCTTAGACTCCAGGGGTGCCTGGGTGGCTCAGTCGTTAAGCGTCTGCCTTCAGCTCAGGTCATGATCCCAGGGTCCTGGGATCCACCCCTGGATCGGGCTCCCTGCTCAGCGGGAAGCCTGCTTCTCCCCCTCCCACTCCCTCTGCTTGTGTTCCTGCTCTCGCTGTCTCTCTCTCACTGTCAAATAAATAAATAAAACATCTTAAAAAAAAAAAAAGAAAGAAAGAAAGTCTTAGACTCCAGTAATAAATGAATTCAGTAAAGTTGCAGGATACAAAATTAATACCCAGAAATCAGTAGCATTCTATATACCAATAACAAAATAGTAGAAAGAGGAATTAAGAATACAACCTCATTTGCAATTGCACCAAAAAGAATAAAATACCTAGGAATAGACTTAAAGAGGTGAAAGACCTGTACTTTGAAAACTATAAAACACTGAGTAAAGAAATTAAAGATGAAACAAATGGAAAGATATTTCATGCTCACGGATTAGATGACTTAATAATGTTAAAATATGCATACTACCCAAAGCAATCTACAGATTCAACGCAATCCCTATCAAAATACCAATGGTGTTTTTTTGACAAAAATAAAACAAATAATCCTAAAATTTATATGGAACCACAAAAGACCTCAAATAGTCAAGGAAATCTTGAGAAAGAAAAACAAAGCTGCTGGGGGGCGCCTGGGTGGCTCAGTCGTTAAGCATCTGCCTTCAGCTCGGGTCACGATCCCAGGGTCCTGGGATCGAGTCCCGCATCGGGCTCCCTCTTTGGTGAGGAGCCTGCTTCTCCCTCTCCCACTCCCCTTGCTTGGGTTCCCTCTCTCACTCTCTTTCTGTCAAATAAATAAAATCTTTTAAAAAAAGAGAAAAGAAAAGAAAAGGCTGCAGGTATCACAATTCCTGATTTCAAGTTATACTACAAAGCTGTAATAATCAGGGCACCTACGTGGCTCAGTCATTCACTAAGTGTCTGCCTTCAGCTCAGGTAATGATCTCAGAGTCCAGGATTGAGTCCCACATTGGGCTCCCTGCTCAGCTTCTCCCTCTGTCCCTCAGCCCACTCCTGCTCTCTCTCTCTCTCTCAAATAAATAAAATCTTAAAAAAAAAAAAAGCTGTAGTAATCAAAACAGTATGGTAC